CCTCCTCGACCCAGAGCTGTCGTTTGGCTTCGACCCGACTCCCCTTGGGTCAAGCTGAACACTGATGGTTCTTTTGATCGCCAGACCGGAGTTGCCGGAGGAGGAGGTTTGTTGTCTGCCATTTGGTTCATGCAAGGAGATTGCAAGGGCTTCTGTTGGTTTCTGGCGGGGTAAAGATGATGATATCAAAGTGTGATGCATTGGAAGAGTTGGGATTTTCTCTCCTTACCTTAACGCCATGGAAGAGTGGGCTTTCAGGACATTTATCTATTCAACAAAGCCCTAATTGCAAACCAATCATAGAGGTTGCTGACTAAGCCAAATCTTCTGATAAACAAGATTATGAAATCCAGGTATTACCCTGATACTTCTCTCTTTGATGCCCAGAAAAAGCACTACTCTTCCTGGTTATGGAACAGTTTGCTTAATGTTAGGATAAATGTGGTAAATGGATGATGGTAGAAGTGGGTGATGACATTGTTAGTATTATATACTGAAAGCTTGCTTTGGATTATATTACACTTTTACCCTTGTATGAATGAGAAACATGTTAGATTAAACAAGTTCCACGTTCTGTTATTTTGCATTAGATAGTGTGGGTCGTCATCGGGCGAACCGAAGATCATACTATCAGTTACTCGCGAAACAAGAATAAGTGGTTCACAACCCAGATGGACATGAACACCCCCATCATGAACGGTTGTAGTGTCAACTGTACAGTTTGTCTTGACTGATTAGTTGCACTAGTACATTTATGTATTGAACATGATCCCAGAGAGGAACAGTTCGTTTTATACTGATCGTCGTAAATGAACTAGGTCTCGGTTAATTACTGCGTATTCTTAACCCGTAAGATATTAAACAGGCATATATGTGTAGTACTTATTAGTGTGATTTACATGAGTGAGGCTTAGTGAACTGGGCCAATAGACCCGCTGTCTTGGGTAATATTGCTACATGTAGGATGTGTTGTTAGGATATTCACGGTCACCATGTGCGTTAGTTTGATGATGTCCCCGGAGTGAGTTCACGAAGGATTATTATGCTAAACCCTGTAGGCGGATTAAATTCCGGCATAGTAATAACGTGATGAATGAGCGCTAGCTTCGGTGAGATAATAATAAATTAATTAATTTTTGATTGTCAGTAATCAAATTAATTAATGGACATTATATCTTAAACATGGGGAGATAAATCGAGTAATTATTATTGGAGTCTCAATTGTAAATTGGGCTAGGAAAAGGGAGTGCAATAATATTATGTTGGTGGACCATTTAATATTATTTAATTAATTAAAATAAGTGGCTTGGTCCACAAGTATTTTAATTAATTAAGGAGTCCTAATCCTATTCTCCTAAGGATCCCTACTGTAGCTCTATATATACATTATTAAGCTCATGTGAAGAGAATAGAATTCCACATCTTGTGAAATCACGCCCCACGTCTCTCTTCTCTTTCTCTCTCTCTCTCTCTCTCAGTTCCCATTCGAGCTTTATCTTCATCTTGTTGTTCCACCGGTACAAGATTAAGAGGTGTTTGAGATATACAATAGAAGATCTTTGGGTGTAATGAGACAAAATATATTTTGTCGTACATAACTAACCGGAGGTCAGATCAAGACGTGCAACATACCCAGACGACCGTCTCAACGAGAGCTTTCCAACGTCGCCGAGGTCGCAGCCGTCCGACCACCCACGCGCCAACACGCGCCGCCGCAAGGCCCCAGGACTGCAACTTTGCCTTCTTCCGTTTGAACCCGTTTGATCCGGTTCTCGATCCGATCTTGTTCGTGCAACCCTAGGCACGATTTGCAGTCAACAATTCATTGGTGTGCTGTGTACGACCATTTAGAAGATCAGCCAGATTGCCACAAAATTTTAAGCCGTAAGTTCTCTACGCAAACCATTAGATCCGCTGCGCATAGGTTTACGTTTTGCTATTGAATTCGTGATTTGTGCATAACGAGATCCTCATAGATTCTAACAAGTGGTATAAGAGAACTTGGTTTAATTCGTTGTGTACAAGTTTGAATTTTTACGGCTTTATTTGTCAAGATGTGTTCAAACGCAGCCATATATTGGATTATATTCACATAACTCGGTTTTGCAGGAATTAGTTTAATACACTGTTATGGCCGATTATGTGTTTGATGAATGTTGATGAATGTGATGTATGGTTTTATATTTGTTTTTAAAGCCTCAGTCATGTCGAGGAATTTGGTAGATGAATGTTTGTAATAATTATTCGCCCGGGGGTTGACCGGATAGATTAATTACTTGTTTAGAAAACATGTACATCCATTCGTTGGATCAAGGATCGGATTATGTAATTTTGTAAATTATATTTTTTGTGTTGTGATTGTGGATTAATTGCCGGGAGATCACAAGAGATCAACGAGCCTCGAAAGACCAACCGAGACAAATCCCGGAGGCGCGCACGGACACGCGCGGTTTAAAAAAAATTCCGACCACCGGCGGCGGTGGCGGCGACGGCGGACTGTCGGTGGTGGAGAGGTTTATTTGGTGTCCAAGCAGTACAAGATCTACAAGGATTCTACTGCTAGTCCCAAACCATTTGATTTGAAGAGAAACTTGGACATTGTCATGTCGATCACCATGGCTAGGGACACTCCCGTAAGGGAACATGTCCAGAAGCTAATGGAGCAGTTTGCTCGCATGGAGTCTGAAGGTGCTCACATTCATGAGAGCATCAAGGTTGACATTATACTCTTCACACTGCATAAGGACCTCAACCAGCTTTGCTACAGTTATGACGGGCTTTTTAGGAAACTGTCAGTGGCTGAGCTGATTGGGGAACTTGAGATGGCTGAGAAGATTATCCATGAGGAGCGAGAGATGATTCTTGCAGAACGTGAGATGGCCTCATCCTCTAAATCCGTAGGGATAAAGAGGAAAAGGAGCTCTGTTCAGGAGGCAGTGGAATTGTCTAGAGCTGTGAGATCAGGATAGAAGGTCGACTGCCCTCTCCTTAAAGGTAACTCTCTCGTTAATATCGTAGAAACATGTTTAGCGGTTGTATCTACCAGAACCTGGTGTGTAGATACTGGAGCCATTGATCATGTCTGCAATTCATTGCAAGGGTTTCAGGAAACCAGGCGACTTAGGGAGGGAGAGATCACCGT